CCTCCTCCTCCTCCTCCTCCTCCTCTCCTCCTCCTCCTCGACCTCCTCTTCATCCCGAACGGCATCTCGGAGCCTAGAGTTGCGAGGATGTCTCCAGCGTAACGGGCTGGACCACCTCGCGCGCGGCATCTCGGACCCCAGAGTTGCGACGATTTCTCGGGCAAACGTGCCGCGAGGAAGTCTCAGGCGAAACGGGCCGGACCACCTCGAGCGCGGCGTCTCAGAGCTCCGAGTTGCGGTGGCCTCCTGGTGCCTCCTGGGGCCTCCTGGGGACCTCCTGGGGCTTCCTCCTGGGCCTCCTGTGGCCTCGTGAACTCCACCTGGGGTTTCCTGAAGCCTCTTGGGGCTCCCAGGGGGGATATCTAACCTGTGGCCGTTTGGGCCTCTCCAAATGGAGGGGGGGGCACAAGAGCAGGAAAAATCAACGAATCGACACCGGATGTGTATTAACTTGACACGTTCTGATAGAGGGCCTCCTGGGGCCTCCTGGGAGCCTCCTGGGAATCTCCTGGGGACCCCTGGGGCCTGTCCTGGGCGTCCTGCGGCCTCCTGGAGCTCTCTGGGGCCTCCCCCTCCTCCTGCCTGCTCCCTCATGCACATCATCCGCCTCCTCCTTCTCCCTTCCATCTCCTCCTCCTCCTCTCTTCCTCCTCCTCCTCGACCTCCTCTTCATCCCGAACGGCATCTCGGAGCCTAGAGTTGCGAGGATGTCTCCAGCGTAACGGGCTGGACCACCTCGCGCGCGGCATCTCGGACCCCAGAGTTGCGACGATGTCTCGGGCGAAACGTGGTGCGAGGAAGTCTCAGGCGAAACGGGCCGGACCACCTCGAGCGCGGCGTCTCAGAGCTCCGAGTTGCGGGGGCCTCCTGGGGCCTCCTGGGACCTCCTGGTGACCTCCTGGGGCTTCCTCCTGGGCCTCCTGTGGCCTCCTGGACCCCACCTGGGGCTTCCTGAAGCCTCTTGGGGCTCCCAGGGGGGATATCTAACCTGTGGCCGTTTGGGCGTCTCCAAATGGAGGGGGGGGGGGGGGCACAAGAGCAGGAAAAATCAACGAATCGACACCGGATGTGTATTAACTTGACACGTTCTGATAGGCGGCCTCCTGGGGCCTCCTGGGAGCCTCCTGGGAATCTCCTGGAGACCCCTGGGGCCTGTCCTGGGCGTCCTGCGGCCTCCTGGTGCCTCCTGGGGCCTCCTGGGGACCTCCTGGAGCTTCCTCCTGGGCCTCCTGTGGCCTCCTGAACTCCACCTGAGGTTTCCTGAAGCCTCTTGGGGCTCCCAGGGGGGATATCTAACCTGTGGCCGCTTGGGCCCTCAAAATGGAGGGGGGGGGGCACAAGAGCAGGAAAAATCAACGAATCGACACCGGATGTGTATTAACTTGACACGTTCTGATAGAGGGCCTCCTGGGGCCTCCTGGGAGCCTCCTGGGAATCTCCTGGGGGCCCCTGGGGCCTGTCCTGGGCGTCCTGCGGCCTCCTGGACCTCTCTGGGGCCTCCTGAGGCTCGCAGGGTCCCATGGAGGATATGTAACATGTGGTCTTCTCGGCCCCCAGGCTGGACCACCTCTCGCGCAGCATCTGAGAGCTCAGAGTTGCGAGAATGTCTTGTGCGAAACAGGCCGGACCACCTTGCGCACGGTATCTCAGAGCTCAGAGTTGCAAGGATATCTCAGGCGAGACGGGCCGGACCACCTCGCGCAGGGCATCTCAGAGCTCAGAAGTTCGAGGATGTCTCGGGCGAAACGGGCCGGACCACCTCTCGCGCGGCATCTCCCAAGTCAGAATTTCGAGGATGTGTCAGGCGAAACGGGCCGGACCACCTCGCGCAAGGCATCGCAGAGCTCAGAGTTTCGAGGATGTCTCAGGCGAAACGGCCCGGACCACCTCTCGCACGGCACCTCGGGGCTCAGAGTTTCGAGGATGTCTCAAGCGAAACGGCCCGGACCACCTCTCGCGCGGCGTCCCGGAGCGCAATTTTCCGAGGATGTCTCAGGCGAAATGGCCAATCCCGGCCAACTCAGAAACGAGATTTGTGAGGATGTCTCAAGCGAAACGGCCAAAACCATAAAATGTTTGTGAGGATGTCTCTGCTCCGCGTTCCCTCGGCCGGAGTTAGTTTCTACCACAACAGCACCCCGTTCAGCAAGCTGTTTAGGGAAAAATCAAAATAACCAGAACAAGTTCAGACAAAGTTCAAACACATATAGAGAAACAAGACCAACAGTTCAACAAAGTTCAAAAGTTCAAGAGTTCAAACGTTCGGAAAGTCGTCGCCGCGCCAGGGGGGCGTCTTGAACTGATTTCGAACTTTGGGTTCTTGGGGGTTTCGAACTCGAGCTTTTGATCGCCCCTCTGCCCGAACCCAAACCCGAACTCAAATTCTCAGTCGGGAAAGACCATCTTCCCCCAGTGGCCGGATGCAAGACTTGACCGCTTTCATTAAGCAGCGCACACAACGCGCGATGATCTGCAGCTGTTGTTCGCCCGCCCAACGCCGTCGCCGCCGACGCCGCGGCGGAGTCGCAGCGGAGGGTCGTCTCTGGTAGACCGCTCATTGACGACCCCGTCGAGTTCGATGCCCGCCGCCACTTTTTGGGGGGCTTCTATGGTTTCAAGGACAGCGGCGCCGCGCTGTTCGACCCTCGCCAGGCCTTCCCGTCGGTTCTCCACGATTGGATCACGGCCGTGCCAGTTCGTCTCCAGCCCCCTCCCTCCTTCCGCTTGGCAATCGAGGCGCTGCGCAGGAACGCGTGGACCATTGTGCCTTTTCCAGGATCCAAGGGGGTTGACCTCTGGGTGGCCCGTGAGGCGAAGCCAGGGCGCCCGTTGAGCGGAGCCTCGTTCGCGATGGTTCTCCACCCAGCGCGTGCGAAGGTGGGGAAGCACCATCAGAGCTGCGAATTCACCCCGCCAGCTTTCGCGAACAACATTGCCCTGACAGCGAAAAACACGTTGGCGGTGCTGCCCGCGGCCGTCCGCGAGCTAGTTTTAGCGGACAAGTGGGCAGGAATTGCGCTGAACCCTGAGAATGGGCAGTTAACTGGTGTTGCACTTCTCCGATAAAGAGACGGAAGTCCAGCGTCTTCGAGCGCGCTGGCCGAAAATCAGCATCGCGAAATTCAGTTTTGGAGATCGTGGCTTATATCTGGGCCTGACCATCGGACGGGGCGGGTTCTCGCGGAGTTGGCGCGCCCCTGCCCGGAAGCTTTTCGACCGATGCGCGTGCGTCGAGGCCTTGAAGCTTTGTCTTGAATGTGTCGCTGACCGCCCGCGGCGCTTTCGCCCTTCCCGCGCGCTGCAACGTTGCCCAGCGCTACGAGCCGACCTTCAGCATGGCCGAAGCACGCGAAGGACTGCAGAGGTTGATGAGTGCCCCGAGGTACGCCTTCGCTCCCGTCACCCAGTCGAATATGAAAAAGCTGCGCCATGAGATCGGGGCGGCGGGCATCCAGATCATGCTCCCAGCCACAGTCTTGAGAAGGGCGCTGAGATCGAAGGCCTTTTCATAACATGTTTCAGCGTACTGCCCGCGTGCGCGATGATGAAGTGCGGGCAGATGTTCAGAGGTCACGGTCAACCTGTGAGCCTCTGAGGGTTTCCTCCACATGTGCCCCCCAAGTTGCGCCAGAGTAAAACCGCCAAGCATTTAGACATCGATGTTTTGTCCGCATTTAGATATTAATCAGGCTCTCTCATTGGATCCCTGATGCCACGTGTGCTGACGTAGATAGGACTCTGTTGAGAATGAATGTGATTGCTCAGCAGATGCCCCCGCCCACCCTCGCAGCTGTGATCCGCGCCCTCTGCGCTGCATGACCCACGGGTCGCGGAGTCCGCGGGGGGTTCCCGAGCTTGCCGTCTACGGTGCATGACTATGGGCGGGAAATGCATCGCACGCTGTCTTAGATGTCCGCGCGTCACCAGTGGTCTTGCTGCCTGCATCCCCATCCCTCCCCTCGGGTTGGGTGGCCTCGTCTCCCTCCTTGCCCTTTGCTGCTGTCCTCCCCTTCCGCTGTGTTGGCGCGGGTTCCTCCTGCCGTCTGCGCGCGACTGCCATGGATCTTGTCTGCAGTGCATACAAGTCTCGCAGGGCGCGGGAACACAGGAATCCATAATTCACGATGCATTTGCTTCGAGCCAGGCTCCTTCAGCAGGCCAGGCATCACAGCCAGGTTAGGGAGTTGCTGCAGAGGTAGCTGATGACCGCCAGGACCGCCACTCCCCCTCAGCCGCGCGTTGCTCTTCCTTCTGCTGCTCCTCATCCTCCGAATCATGTCCCTTCACACTCTCTCCTGCTTCTGCTCTTCCTAGGATGCACCCTCCTTTGAAATAGACCCCGCACGTCTGGAACAGATGGCAACGGGCGTCCTTACGCCATTTCGATGTACAGGAGCCCCTTCGGGCCCCGTGACCGTCAAAGGGCGCATGCGGCGAACAGACGTGTGCCGAGAGGGACAAGATGACGGAGAAGGACTGGGGGAAGGGTGGTGGAGGAAACGAGGAGGAGGAGGAGGAGGAGGAGGAGAAGGAAAAGAAACAGGAGGAGGAGGAGGAGGAGGCGTTCAGAGGAGGGGATCCTGGGAATGGACCCTTTTGGAGTTTCCCGTGCGGGCGTTCTCCCACACATCCTTCTGCTTCTCATCGTCGTCCTCATCTCCCTCTTCCTCCTCAGCTCCTTATGTATAGTCCTTTTCTTCCTTGTCTACTTCTCTCTCCCTCTCCATCTTCTTCCTCGTTATCGCTGGTCGTCGTCGTCGTCGTAGTCGTCGTCGTTTTCTTCCTCGTCCTCCTCCTCCTCCTCCTCCACCTCCTCCCCCTCCTCCTTCTCCCCCTCCTCCTCTTCCTCATTATGTCAAACATGCCGAACACGGCTCCACCCTGGCATGGAGCGGTCTCTTCTCCCTTCCTCCCCACCCTATTTCATCCTTCTTGCATCACCGAACATGTTTCGCGCGCTCACGCGAGCCCGCCCCCCCTGGTGCCTCGTCGCCGACGAGGCGCCCGGCTGGACACGAGCTTCATCAAGCCGCGCATGAGCATCCCGAAGGAGCGCCGCCGACGAGCGCATCCGATGACGACGACGACGACGAAGACGACGACGACGACGACGACGACGACGACGACGACGACGACGACGACGACGACGACGACGACGACGACGACGACGACGACGACGGCGGCGGCGGCGGCGACGACGACGACGACGACGACGACGGCGGCGGCGGCGGCGGTGGGCGGCGGCGGCGGCTGCAGCGGATGGTCGCCCGCGGCGACCCTCGGCGGTCCTCGACGGTCCTTGGTGCCTTCGACGGCGCACATCCGCGCGTTGTTGTGGCACCATCGGGGACGCGTGTGTGGCTTGGGGTCCGCTCTTCCGCCTCGAGGTGTTTCCTCATTCGTCTCCCCCTCCTTCCTTATCTCATCCTTCCCGTCGGCATCCCTCCTTCTCCTCCTCGTCCTCCTGCTTTCCTTCCTCCTCCTGCTGTTCCCCCTCCTCGTCCTCCTCTTCTTCCTCCTCCTCCGCCCCCTCCTCCTATTCCTTCAACTCCTCCTCCGCACCTCCCTGCTCCAGCGCCCCCCGCCCAACGGGGACGGGAGGGAGGCGGAGGAAGAGGAGAAGGAGGAGGAGGGGGAGGTACATTTATAATGACAAGGAAAAGAGGCCATACAATAACAATGAGGATAATACTGCTACTACTAATACTTATAGTGATAATAGCACTAATGATAATAACATTCGGATTCATGCTAATAATGCGAATACTAATTCCAATGACAATAATACTACTAATCATGCGAAGACTAGTGATAATACGGATAAGAAGAACACTGGGAAGACCAACAAGAAGAAGAAGACGAGGAGGAGGAGCAAGAGCAGGGGGAGGATGAGGAGGAGGATGAGGAGGACGAGGATTGGGATGGAGGAGGATGAGCAGGAGGACGAGGAGGACGAAGACGAGGAGGACGAGGAGGAGGAGAACGATTGGGGTGGAGGAGGATGAGCAGGAGGAGGAGGTTGAGGACAAGTCGGAGGAGGACGACGAGAACGAGGACGAGGACGAGGAAGCGGGAGAGAAACGAGAAGAAAGAAGGCAGAACCACACTAAGAACATACGAGTATGCATAAACTTAATAGTACCAACACTAGGGCTAATAATATTGTAAAATATAGGAATAATAACAAACAAGACATGATATGATGACTACTCAAAGGAAGAGCACAAACGAATCATACCAACAGTACTGTCACCGATGATACGACTGCTAAATAGTGGTAAAAAACCAGCAACAACACCAGTACGACTATAAAGAACAACACTGGCAATACGATTGTCAAAACTAATGGTAGTACTAATCGTAATCATACTTCTAATATTAATACGAATGGTAATAATAATGGTAATACTACTAATATTAATTATGATACCACTATTAATACGAATAATAAAGATACAAAGAAGAAGGAGGAAGAAGGAGGAGTAAGAGGAGGATAAGGCAGGGCTCGCTGAGTCGATGGAAGACTGGCGGAGGACCCCCACCCCTGACTCGGAAGACGGGCGGCTCCGACACCGCAGCCCGTGTGGCATGCAGGTCGCCAGCGCCAGCTTCCAAGACATGTGCGGAGTCTAGGACGCTGTTCCCGTCTGCCAGGGAAAGCCCGCGGCGGCTGCAAGCGCTGGCGGAATGCGTTCGAAAGAACGGAGGAGGAACAGAAGGAGGAACAAAAGGAGGAGGGGGGAGGAGGAGGAGGAGGAGGAGGAGGAGGAGGAGGAGGAGGAGGAGGAGGAGTAGGAGGAGGAGATGAGGAGGAGGAGATGAGGAGGAGGAGATGAGGAGTAGGAGGAGGAGGAGGACGAGGAGGAGGAGGCGGAGGAAAGAGGGAGGAGGAGGAGGAGGAGGAGGGGGAGGAGGAGGACGAGGAGGAGGAGGAGGAGGGGGAGGGAGGAGGACGACGACGACGTAGACGACGACGAGGAGGGAGCAGGTAGGCCTCGGCAGGAGTTCTTCCTCTGCCCGCTGGGGCACCCGGACAAGTTCGTCCGGGCGGTCGGCTCCGAATTGCTGGTGCAGTCGCGCGAGGATCGCAGTGGCTGCGGCCGCTGGCGTCGTCGGCGGCGGTCGTCACGTCGTGGCCATCGTCGTTTATCGAAGTTCTCGTCGTCGACGTCGTCTGTCTCTGTCGTTCCCCCTCATCTTCTTCATCATCATCACCATCATCATCATCATCATCATCATCATCATCATCATCATCATCATCATCATCATCATCATCATCATCATCACCATCATCATTACCAGCATCATCCTCAATACGCATCCGCATCCTCCTCCTCCTCATCATCATCATCATCATCATCAGCAGCAGCAGCATCACCATCATCCTAGTCCTCTCCCTCCTCCTCCTCCTCCTCCTCCTCCTCCTCCTCCTCCTCCTCCTCCTCCTCCCTTCCTCATCGTCAACCTTCCCCTCCTCCTCCTCACCATCCCACTGTCCGTCCGTAGCCGTTTTGGCTCAAGATCGTGAGTTCCTCAGAGGAACAAACGGGTACCACTAGTCCGGCCAGATCCCACCAATTTTTCTCGACACGATCCTCGCGACGAGCCGCCTGGCGGTCGCGAGCCCCTTCTCCCACCAGCGCCGGGCGGCATGAATGAACCGCGGAGTTTCCCGTTCCTGCGCCGTCCACCGCTCCCAGTTTCCAGATGGGACCTGCTGCCTGCGACCGCTCCTGAGACAAGATTGAGGCGGAGGCGGAGCTGCGGAGGAGTACTGGTCCCAGATCGCCCGCGACCTCGAGGTCATCCCGACGTTCGCCTCTCAAGACGCTCACGGCGGGGATCACGATGATGTTCGGCTTTCTCCTCCTGGCGGCGCGACCCCCCCAGCTGTTTGCAGCCGCCACTCTTGACCCTTGGGCCGCCGCCGATGCTCTCAATGCAGCCTGCCGCATCGCGGGCCCGACGCCTGGGATCCCGAGTGGACGAGCAGCCCCCGCCACGCCCAGCTACAACAGCAGCCCCGGTGCAGGCTCCCCCCCGAGGCCCTGGTGGCTGCGCGTCGCAGTGATCTACAGTCCGCTCTCGATCGTCAGGGCGCGGCGCAGGGTTCCACTCTTTCCGACGGGATGGGTCAGCTCCGATCGGCGCTCCAAGCCCAGGTCGCCGAGGTCAGCCAGCAGGTCAGCTCGCAGGAGGCCCTGCGCGTGCAGCTGCGCCAGGAGGTCGGCGACGACGAGGTAAAAATGGCGAAGGCACAGCGTGAGGCTGCCGACGCGGCGGCGTGGCTTGAGGCAGAGGTTGGGCGAATGCTGCAATCCCTCGGTCTCGCGGAGGAGGCCGAGCCTGTGCCGACTTAGCAGTCCCCTGCGTGGGCTAGGGACATCGACCGCGCCATCGAGGCCATCGCTTCCAAGGCTGCGCTCCCGCTTGCAGCCCTGGACGCTGCGCTCCTGCTGGCGGTGGAGGCCGCGGAATTGGCGGGCAAGTATAAGGTCGAGGGAGGAGATGTGCGCGAAGTTCTTCATGCGCATGGGGTGCTGCACCAGCCTCGCTGAGCAGCGGGCGCGGGAGATGTTGGGATGCATGCGGATTGGCCAGGAGGGCAGGGGCACCCGTTGGAGGGAACTCACGGCGGAGCTCCCCGCGGTCGGGCGCCGCCAAAAGCCCGCGCAAGTTGGCAGAGCCTGTCGTGGGGCAACGCATCTTCATCGACACTATTGGCCCCCACCGCGCCGAGGCCGCCATCTCGCTCAACTGGAGGCAGGTTCTCAAGGTCACGGTCGAGGGCTCGGGCGCCATCCCGACAGCGCAGAGGAACGCGCGGGCGCTGCAGCGCGCGGCGCTGGATTGGCAGAAACTTCAGGCGCGATACAACCTAGTGTGGGGCCCGAGATCCAAGACTGGTACTTTAACATATGTATGCGCTTATGGGGCAGAGGTGGCGCGTGCAAGATCGGGGCGCGGCGTGGAATGACAGAGCGCCCTGTCATCGTCGAGCTCGAGCAGCCAGGCGCCGCGCGACATGCTTGAGACAGTTTTGGCGGCAAGGCGTGGTGCTGCATCTTCAGGGAGTTCGCGGATCTGTTCCAAGTCTGTGGGATCTGCTTCGCAATGCGGGCGTCCACGCGCAGATGTTCTCCTCCTTCTCTCCTGGCGAGCGTGAAGGATCTGGTGGGTTGGCGTCTCTGGTCCTTGTCATAGCTGGGCCTGGACACATCCGCTGGCGCCCCAATCAGATCACCCCTGTGCGGACCTCCCTCGCTTTCGCGATCTTCTGCGACGACCTAGCCGAGCAGCGCGGCGCGGCCGCAGAGTTTTGGCCCGCCGGAAAGCACACAACCGTTGCATCCCCGCGGGGGCGGCCAGGCCCAGATCGCAGTCAAGGGGAGCTACAATGGGCCGCCAGGAATCCGGAGGGGCGCATCAATGTCGGCGACCGCCACGAGCATCGGGGCGTCGAGTTCCATGGGCATGCCGCGGCGCATGAGACTCACCCTCAGGAGAGGCGCTGGGTATAGCAGCTGGAAGGCGCCACCGAGATGGTCGCGCCTCGGGCAACGCACTGACACCATGCACTGAGGCACGCATCCTGCATGAACAATATGTTCTTTGGTTGGCCGCCCTGGCCCCTGGCGCAATCGCGTCAGCAAGCTGAGGTGCGTGGTGGACCTGAGGGGCTCCGCAGGCCGAACATCAGCGGCCACGCTCTGTTCTGGGCCGCGTGGGGCCCGCGTCCCAAGTTGCCGCGGCCACTCGACCGCCCGGCCCCCCATCCTCGCCACACGCAAAAGCTCCGCTTGGCGCGTCGATCAGCACCCTGGCACGCGCAGGTCAGAGGGGGTCTCGGCACCCGTCCGCTACCGCACCGACGCGCGGATCCTGCGGGCTGCCGCGCGGGGGGCTCGACCTGCTGCTGCGCTCCGCTTCTTGGTCGACGAGCTCGATGGCGATGATCTACAGCCAGACGGCGCGGGCACTTTCGAGACGCGACGGGAAGATGGGCGAGCTGCTGCTCCCCCGCAATACCTGGCTTCACGAGATGGCGGTGCTCGACCAAGAGTTGGGTTGAGCTGATCGACGCTGCCGAGTTCGAGCGTCGGCGTTCGGCTGCCCTGCGCAAGGAGGCCAACGCGTCCCGCGAGGCGATCCGACAGGGGCTCGAGGGGGCGAACTCCCTGGGTGCGGACAGCGGCGCCTTCGCGGTCAGTTGCGCGCTCTTCTGAGGCTGTCAGCTTTTTGGGCCCCTCGTCGAAGCGATGCCTGGGCGCCCTCGTGATCGGCGGGATGAAGACGCAGGCCGCTGAGAAGGTGCGCGAAGGCCTGGTAGGGCACCGGGGCAAAGTCTTCTGCGCCCAGCCGCAGCCCGCGGCAATCCGCCCGGCACTCCAGGAGCGCGAGGCGAAGGAGTTCCTCGGCAGGCACGGCCGCCTGAAGCCCAACTGGGACCAGACCTTTGCCCCGACATCGCGGGGCACCCAGATCGCGCGGGGGCGAGCCGAGCCCGCCGCCCCTGGATCTGATGGGCTGCCAGACGCGGCGTGGCGGGCCCATCCTGCCGGCATCGACGCGCTGGCTGACGCGAGGGGGCGGCTGGCGAGCGGGTGTGCCATGCTGCCTGGTTTCAATGGCGGGGCGCGCGTCTTCCCGCCCGAGAATGTCTTGGACTCTGGACTCCGACGGCGCGGGGGTCGCGAGCGACCCGGCGGACGCGAGACCCCTCGCGCTGAAGAAAACGCCGAGGCCACATCGAGCGCGGTCAACGCGTGCCCGAGCGCGCGCAGCCAGCGGGGTTCCGTCAAGCATCGCATCCTCATGGATAGCGCGCTTGAGATGGACGGTCTCACCCGCGTAGCCCCGCTCCACCCGCAGGACGGCGCTCGCCTTGCCTCCTCAGATTCAACGTCGCTCAGGCCTTCCCGAGAGTCCGCCACGACTGGATCGGGCGGACGCATCAGCAGTGGGCCCCCCTGCGGCGCCCATTGGTTGATCGCGGCCCCAAGCGGCGACGCGCGCGGCGTGGGCCCCCCCCCAGCGGGCGGTGACGTTCCCCGTGCTGTCTGGCGCCTTCAAGGTCGACCCGCTATCGGGCACGGTCTTCGCTTTCCCGGCGGCGCCCTGCACCCGCGCGCGCGAGGTGGCTGGGGAGTCGTCGCCTGGGGCTTGCTCGCCGGCGTGCTGACGACATCGGCGCCGTCGCTGTCAACCGGGAGGGGGTGCGCTGCGCGGGCCGCATCTGCCGCGCACGCGAGCGGTTGGCGAGTCTTTTTTCTGAAGCTCCAGAAGTGCGTCTGCGCCCCCCTCGCGGGCCCCTTCCTTTCGGAGGCCGCGGAGGGCATCCAGCAGGAGTTGGGGTCGCTCTGCCCTGGCTGGCCCCGATGAAAGGTTGCCGCCCAGCTAGACATGCTGGGGCGCTCGATGGGCCCGGCCGTCGCGCTGCGAGGGCAGTGGAGCGCGGCTCCGGCCCAGTGGCGCCAGCGTGCCTCTGCTGCGGCGGCGACGCCACTCGACCCCGCGACGCTGCTGCACGACTACCAGACGAAGATGATCACGGCCCCGAGCTGCAGGGCCCAGGTCTACGCGCTGCCCGCCCCGCTCCACAAGGCCAAGCAACGTGTCCTCACGAGGCCCCTGCGGTCGTCGGGCAGCCTGGCGCGGCGCCTCGACTTCTCCAGCCCTCCCCGAGTTCGGCCCCCCGAAGATCGCGCCGTTGTAGGCGTTCCCTCTGGCCTCGGGGATGCGAGCGGCCTCCTCCGCTATCGTCCTGGCGTGCTGTGGCTGCGCGGCTGGACTCGGTCGCGACGGAGACGCTCCCGGTGGCGCGCGCGATCTCCGCGCCGCGCCCGGCCCTCTGGCAGGCTCCATCCGTCGCGCACCTGCTGCGCGCCCCGAAAGTGGGGGGCCCTACCGCATCGACAAGCACCCCGAGGCACGCCTCGCCCCAGGAGCTCCGCGCAGCGCGCGGGATGAATGAAAAGAGGCGGGGGGGCGTGGGGGGTCGGGAGAAGGTTCGCTTGCAGTCTAGGATAGGTCGGTCTCTTGTGGCGTGCGAGCTCAGATCCAGCACCTCGGAGCTCATAGGTAGGAGACTCCTGAGTTGGTTCCCCGTGGGCCCTGAGGTGGTCTCGGCCATAGCGTGGGACTCGGTTAGGGCCGCCCTCGCAGAGTGTACCCACCCTCCTGGAGAGTGGCGTGTGTCAAGAGCTGTCCAGAAGGCTGGGTCACGGACGCGCGCCTCCAGAATCCTGATGGGGGATGCGTGCTAGGATGTCCCGATCGCTGCAGCCTTCGTCACTAATGTCTTTGCCCTCGTTCACCAGATATCCCTTTCCCCGCTCCCCCCTGCTCCCCTCGAGGCCCTCGCTCTCGCCTCCGCTTCGCCTCCGCGTAACCGTGTCGTGGCCCGAATGTTCCAACTCGACCGCCCCCTCCATGCAGCGACGAGCAGCAATGGAATTTAGTGTGTTCCAGCGGCAGAGTCTGCATCGATCGCGAAGGCGCCTCGCAGGGCCGTCGACGTGGTCCGGGCCCAGTAGCAGAGGCAGGGGCGTCGCGCAGATGGCGAACTCCTGTTGATGACTCTGTGCGTCCCCATCGCAGTCCCCGTCCTCAGCATCATCCTCCTCGTCGTCCTCCCTGTCCCCTTCCTCCCCTCTTTCCTGGTCTGAATGGCGTCTTCAGCGTAGTGCACCCCCGGCAACGATGCCCTCCGGCGTCTCTGGGCGGATTTCCGAGCTCCGAGTTCCCCTCTTTCCTCCGCCCCCCCTCCTCCTCGTCATCTTCCCAGGACGTGAGCCTGAACTTCCACGAGTTCTTCGGCGCCGCGAAGTTCACGCTCTGGTGGCTGCCGGAGGTGGCTTCTCCTCCTCCTCCTGCTCCTCCTCATCTTCTCCTCCTTCCCCTCCTCCTCCTCCTCCTCCTCCTCCTCCTCTTCCTCCTCCTCTTCCTCCAACCTCCAGTCTACCCGTTCCGAAAGCACGGGCCCCACCCCCCAGCGCATCCAGGGGGCGGCGATTACTGCCGCATCCAGAGCGCGAAGGAATCACGTCGTTTGAGGTCTTTGGGCGCTCTCGCCGATTCCTAGTGGTCTTCCTGCCTCGGGGTTCTTTCTTGCGGCTGCGCCTCGCCGAGAGTGATCCGGGGGTGCCCGCATCGTCCCGAACGGCCGCCGGAGGTCCGAGTCTCGGCCCGACAACCTTCAGCACCGCACAAGAAGGTGCAGGAAAGCGGCATGCACGCGAGCTGGGGCAGGGCAGCGGCAGGAAAGCGAAACGTTCCAGCATCGACCAGGGTTCCGTCTACCGAGTACATGCCCTTGAAGGTGGGGAAGGGGTTGAGAGCCCCAGGGGCCAGCGACTCAGCAAAATCGAGGCGTCTCAGGTTTTGCAGAGAGGCGTGGCGAAGGTGCCGACCCAGTTCTGCCATGCCTGGGGTGATCGGGTCGGCGTTTCGGGGAGCTCTCCGTATTCGGCCAGATCTGGGCCCCAAGGGAATGGAGACCCTCGTGCTCCCCCGCTTTCGTTTCCTCTCCGAACGCCGCCGGCGTGTGATGAATCCACTCCCACGCGCAAATATACTCCCCCTCCTCCTCCTCCTCCTCGTCCTCCTCCTCCTCGTCCTCCTCCTCCTCGTCCTCCTCCTCCTCCTCGTCCTCCTCCCCCTCCTCCTTCTCCTCCTCCTCCTCCTCCTCCTCCTCCTCCTCGTTCGCCCCCCACTGTCCTCCCTCTTCTCTTCTCTTCCTGACATTCCTTTACCCTTCTCTCCATCCCACCTTTTCAGTCCTCCATTCCACGACACGCCTGGTCGCACCACCAGGCGTGTCGTTAGGGCGGGCCATACGTACCGCTTGAGACTTCCTCGAGAAGCGTGATCATGACTTGCTATCATCCCCAAGTACGATTTCGCCTGGCGCCACGCACATCCTTTCTGGACGCTCCTACTACTGGCACGGACGGATGGCATGTCGTTCACGCATTCCTTCTCAAAGTCTGGACCATTACACGGATGGTGGGCGGTTCTGGCCTGGCCCTTCTCTAAAAGCTGTTGCCATGGATCGGCAGCTTGTGAAACACATCGGCGGGATCGGGCTTCAACGAGGCTCTCGCCTGAAAGGCGGACGCACGAGGCGCTCGTGTTCGAAGGGGGCGCTCCCCGTGGAAAAGCAGAACGTCTGCCTTTACTCCTGAAGATGGCGCTTGGGACTACAGGGTGTGTTGCAGGATCGTTGATGCATCATGATGCATCCTGGGGCCATTCCCCAATCGGTACTTGCACTGAAGGGGTCCTAGCTGATATTGGAAAATTTGGCGAAAGTCTAAGGCCGATTTCGGTGGCCAGCTGGGTTCCCGGGTTCCCGGTCGCTGGTTCCGGGCCGATTTCGGGATCCCACGATCGAGCTCACCATCGATCTCATGATCGACCTCATTATCCGTCTCATTCAATCGATCTCAGCATCGACCGAGTTTTCCATACCATACATTGATTAGGGCTTTTATCTGGTGTAATTAAGTTCGCTTCGCTCATTCCTCTGGTCCGCACTGCATCATCGCTGATATCCAGTGGTGTTGCTGGAAAAAGCCAGCCAGCATGATTCCACATCTGATCCCCAGATCCCCCTCCACAGGTATCCTGGGGACTTCTTGCGGGCCTCTTGGGGCCTCTCGAGGGCCTCTGAGGGGCTCATGGGGGCATGCTGGCGGTCTCGGAGGCCCTCTTTATGGCCTTTGGGGCCGCCTTGGGGCCCTCCTGGGCAGCCTTTCGGCCCTCTGGGGTGCCTCTGGGGCCGTCCTGGAGCGATCTCGGGGGCATATTGGGCCGTATTTGGCCGTCAGAAGCTTGGAAAAGCGAGAACGCTAAAATATGTCAAGCACCCCAGGGGCATTACATACTACTAGTTTCGTTTCGGGGCCGACTTGGGGGCCTCTTTGGTAGTTTTGGGGCCATCTCGGGCTGTCTTGCAGCACTCTTTGATCGTCTCGAGGCCCCTGGGGCTCTCTTGGAGCGCTTCTGGGGCTGAAGGGGGGTTCCAAAAGCCCGCGCCCAGGAGTTCCAGCATCTCTGGGGAGCACTTTGCTGGGGCATTCTTCATCCAAATAACTTAGCGCGTAAATTAGCAATAGACGAAGATTCGGAACCTTACCGGTTCTAGCACGCCTTCGGCCCGTTGGGTCGGCGAAGTTTGGGCTCTCCTCTTCCTCCTCCTCCTCCTCCTCCGCCTCCTCCTCCTCATCCTCATCCTCATCCTCATCCTCGTCTTCATCCTCCTCCTCCTTGCCCTCCTCCCTTATTCATCCTCCTCTCCGCCGCCCCCCCTCCCGCACCCTCTTTCGCGGGCGTTGAGGCCGCCTGGTCTGCACTTTGGGGCCCTCGTCCCCGCAGAGGTGAACAACATGTGCCGCATCCGCACCGCCGAGTCGGCGCAAGCGGGCGTGGAGGGGGGCAACGTGTTCGTGGCTTGCGCTAAATCGGCGGCGCGCCACGATCGTCGTCGTCGACGTCGTCATCGTCGTTTTGGAGCTGTTTGGGCATTTCTGGCGGTTCTCGTAGCCACAGCTGGGCGCGGCGCAGAAAGCTGGCTGTGAGGGACCAGGGGCCACGTTGGAGCGGGTTCTGGTCGGGGACAGGGCGCGAGCGGGGGCTTCGGAGAAGTGGCCGGGGGCTTCTGAGAAGGCTTCTGAGAGATCTGGAGGCCTCTCAGAGTATCGGGACAAAAATGCAGGTTCGACCTCTATTCTGGAGGCGTTCGTTCCCTCATGATGTACGATTTTGTTCCTCCATTCTGGGGAGTCCGACTTCCAGGTCGGCGTTTTCTACCCTCTGGGCGCCCCGGCCTTCTTTGGAAGGCCGCCCCCCGCGAACAAACACACACACACACACACACACTTTTGCGTCGGCGGCTGGGCAGAGGGACTGCTCTGGCGGTGTAGCATTATTGGGACCAGACGCGAATTGGGCCTGCACGGGGGAAGAGAGGAGGCCCGGCACGGGCGGGAAAGAGAGGAGGCCGGGCCCGCTCAGAGCAGGGCCAGGTGGCGGCGGGGGGGGCGCCGGGGCTGGGGACCAGCCGCGGCGGCAGGGCAGCAGCTGGGGGTAGGCAGCCAGAAGGTTGCTGGGCACGCGCCCGGGTAGGAGGCATCAAACACACATCACACACACATGCACACACACACACATTTGTTGGCGATCGCGGCCCCACGCGCAGACGCGCAGCGACGAGGCGGCGTAAGTTAGGCACAGCGCACGGTGCCCCGCGCGGGCGGGCTTCAAAAGGGCGGGCGCACCATATGCCGTTCGGACGAGCGACGAGGCCGACAACCGCAGGAAAGAACCCACACGGGACCCACACGGCTACAAGCGACAACGAGAGGCAAAAGCGGCAAACGCTCGGGGAGCAGATTGCTGCAGCGGACGAACGGGAGAAAGACGAGCGGAGAATGGCGGGTAGCGGAGAGGGGAGGACCGAAAGCTCAGCGCCCTGGCTTGGGCCGGCCGTGAGGTCGGGAAAGGTCGCAGGAGGGCTGGCGGCTGGCACTTCTGCGGAGTGGCAGCGTCGTTGCTCCCAGCTGGCGCGGGAGGGACCGCCCCCCCTCCCTTCTGGGCGGCGCCGCGGAGAGCAAAGGGAGGGACTGAGCGGATGAAGAGATTGAGCTGAGATGCAGTGAATCGTCGGGCGAAGAGAACTATGCACTGATCCTGGGCTCAGGATGGGCCTGGCCAGGATCGGTGTATGTGCATAGTTCTCTTTCCTCTAGTGAAGGAGTGGGGATCAAAGTTAGGCTACTTAAAGTTAGGACCGACGTGCGGACGTGTAGCCGACGTCGGGGCAGCTGGGTTCGAGCAGGGCCGCAGCACGGCAGGCGAGATCACGTTTCTGGATCAGTGCTGCTGCTGACGGCGCCAGTGCCTGCGTCCCCGCCGCTGGGCCAGCGACGGCCCCTCTGCTTGGAGAAGGAGGAGGAGGAGGAGGAGGAGGAGGAGGAGGAGGAGGAGGAGGAGGAGGAGGAGGAGGAAGGAGCCCGATCGGATGAGCGGGACGGGGGATCTCCGCTGCTGCTGGGGAAGGCGCGGCAGGGGGCCGCGAGCAGCGGGCGGCGGCCTCGCGTGGCGGGGGAGCCGCGAGTCCTGCAGCGGAGGGGCGGCACGGCAGCCACCCCGGCCCAGGTGCCCCAGAGCCAGCGCCGAGAGGTGAGGGAGGCCCGTCGGCGCGGGGCCCACTGCGGCTGGGGTCGCGTCCGATGACTGCGCGCGCCGGTGGCCCAGAGGGTCTGGCCACGCCTCCCGCGGCGCGCGCTCCCTGGAGCGGGGACCTCTCTGCCGTCGCTCGGGTGGGCTGGCAGGGGCCGGGATCGCGGGGCGACTCATTGGTGCTCCCAGGTTCGCTCTCGGCTCCGCCCACAGCTGCTGGGTGAGCGTGGCGGCCTCGTTCGGGGGTGGTAGCCGCAGACTCAGCACGCGGCCGAGGAGAGTCCTCCCGTGACCGTGGAGCGCCCATGGCGGCAGGGAAGCGTTGGGAGAGCGGCTCGGGATCGTCCCGCCAGGCTACACGCCGCGCCAGCACGGTGGGGTTACCCGCATCCGCACCGACTTGGCGGGCCCGGGGAAGCACAGGCAGAGGTTGCGGGAGCGGCACCCCACAAGGGCTGGCTGGAGTTGCCTCCAGGCTGGTCGCTGACGAGGCGCTGGGCGAGGTCGCGCCGCTGGTCGAGGGGGACCTGCCGCCAGTCAGCAAAGCACCCTGATTGAAAGCCCTGCAGCATGGCCCTTGCAAACTTGGGGTCGAAGAGACGAGGGTCGGAGTGCAGGAGGGGAGCGCCCCTGGCCCCTGGTGGCGACTAGGCGTAGGAGCTCGGAGCATAAGTCCAGCCTCCCTGCCGCGCGCCTGGAGGCTGCCAGGCGTTCGAGCAGCTCTGGATCAGGGAGGGCCGTGTCAGGGACGTAACAGCGGGGCTGCCCGGAGGAGGGGATGGTAAGCGCGGGGCGTGCTGGACTCTTCGCTGGCTTGCGCGCCGCAAGATGCCACTGAGCTGTTCGTCTGAGCAGAATGCGGGGTCTGCCTGCGGGACCTCCATCCTCTGGAGGTACTCCCGCCAGAAACTGGCCGGCTGGCAACCGAGCTGAACGCAGGCATCCACAACGTCGGCCCTGACTGGCTGAGGGAGCTCTTCGATGGGCGCCTGGGCAACGTCTGCAGAGGAGCCGGGCGGTGGCGGCTCGGCGCCGGTGGCGGCAGCCGGGGAGCGAGGCCTCCGCTTGCGCCCAAACGTGGCGCGCGTTCCAGGAGGGCCGCTCTCGGGCGCGGCTGGCCTGGCCAGGCCCGCCGAAGACGCGGACGCGGGGGCCGAGGCCCCGACCCCCCCGCCCGGCCAGCGGTGGCGAGCGAGATCTGTGAGCCGGGTCGGGCCCCTGGGGGGGCATGCCCGCACCGAGAACGTCCCATGAAGTGGTGGCATCCCGGGCAGGCTCGAGCTCCAGCTCCCGGGCGGGACACACACACACACACACACGCGCACACACAAGGACACAGACAGACAGACAGACAGACAGACAGACAGACAGACAGACAGACAGACAGACAGACAGACAGACAGACAGACAGACAGACAGACACACACACACAGACACACACACAGAGACACACACATACACACAGTTTTCGGTCGTTGGCGGCCAGGGGAACCTCCATAGCGTTCAGAGAAGTCGCCGACGCGCGCGCGCCGGAAGAAACGTGAAGAGGCCGGCCCCTCACGGGGACTGGCAGCGGACCCCAACGGGGCAGGCAAGCAGTAGCCGGGCCAGCGGGAGTCGAAGCGGCGGGCAAGGAACTCGCACGATCGAAGGCCAAAGTTGGCCAGAATTAGGACGACCAGGGGCCAGAAAGACAAGGGCAAGGGGGCCAAGCAAAGAGGGAAACGCGAGGAGCGCCAGCGGACAGCCGAGGGAGGAGACAAACGGACGCAGGGACACGGGCCCTTCGACGGAGCAGGGGGAGCCGAGGGGAAGAACGGAAGCCCCCCGCACCACAAGGGCGAGGTAAATACACGAAGAACGAAGAGGGAAGGAGCCGGCCGAGGAGGGAGGCGAGGAGGAGGGAGGAGGCACAGCACGAAGGAGGGGGAGAAAGGAGGGGGCCACGGGGCGGCTGGGGCACGCCGGGTGGGCAGCGACGCGGAGGCCGTGCCGCGGGAGGGGGGTGGGAACGGCGGGGGGAGGAGGGGACGACGACGACAGGAGAAGAACGGGGAGGAGGACGGGGGGGAGATGACAAGCGGACAACCCCCAACACGGGGAAAAAGATGAGGCTTCCAGGCTGTAAGATGCGGCGGCAGCTCAACGCCCTGCCTTCGAGGGAGGCAGGGAGGCAGGGACAGCGCCTCTTGCAGCGCAGCGCCCAGCCCTCAGCCCAGCCACCTCCGAGAGGGGAACGGCGGGGCGAGGAGGGGACGACAACAACAAGGAGAAGGACGAGAAGAAGGGAGGTGGCGACAAGACATGCACGCCGTACAGAGCAGGGGGAGAATCGAGGACACCGCACAAGCCGACCTACAATAGGCAAACTAATGCAGTCAATCGAGCCCTGAGCCACTATATCTATATATATATATATAAATGTGTGTATACATATACACATATATATATATATATGCAGAGTGGAGTGGGTGAACACAAGTTCACGAAGACCTGAGGTGAAGATCTGGGAGTGACCCAAGGCGACGCCTCGTAGGAATACCGGACGTGCCAGCAAAGGCGCGCAGCTTGCTATACACGCAGGACATGCGAACAGAACCTTCACATACAATGCGACAACACGAATGCAAGGCATGCAACAATAAAGAAATACTCCCATCATCAAGATGGTATGCAAGCGAAACTCCAACAGCAAGTGTAGGTTGTAAGCTAGCCTCCATATTCGACGAACGATTCACGCACGCTGTACGCACATCCGCGCGCTCTTGGCAAGATATCTGAGATCGGAGAGATTCTCTCTCTCTCTCTCTTTCCGTGAGCCCTAACTGGGATGAGAAGTGAGAACAACGAATAGTATTCTAACCCGCGATGAAAAATATTGGCAACGATTGGGCATCGAGCTCAGCTAACACGCATAGATGGAACAACCAACTGGACACACATGCACACACACCTTGGTGAGCACAGACGTTCTAACAACTCATTCCCAAGAGGCCCACATGAGATCTCGGAAAAGCCGAAAGGCTGGTTCGGTATCCGTGCCTTTCCCATCGAGGAGCGACCAGGGTACAAGTGCTTAAGCGTAGTATGTACGCTCAACTCCCGAGGGGATGTCCCTTCCTTGAGAGGAACAGCTGCGAAAGTTAAAGTATGCAAGACAGGCGAGATACAGATAAGGCCAGACACCACGTGCAGACACAAAACGAGGGAAAGCGAAGCAGGCCATCGAAACTGATGTCGGTGTGAGCCTCGGTGTGGCCG